TTAAAATCAGCCTTAATGCATCTTTTGAAATATAAACTAAAAGATCATGTAGAGAGAGAAAGAAGGAATACCGTAATAAGGTGAGAATCGACGTAGTGACAAGTTCAATGTACTTTCGGAACCATTTTCGACAGTATACTTGAGGTATTCCGCTTCTTTATATATATTATCTATCTCATAATGAGATTTCGCTGAGTATTATTTCTTTAACAGTCAAAATCAACTCATACTAATGAGTTCAGAAGTAATGCTTTATTTGTCCTCCATAATTTATAATTCCACCTCTGTTCAAGCGGAAAGGCCATATTATAATCAAAAACCTACTGTGCAAATGATAACGCCATTCCAATATACGGCTTTCGCAAAAAGTTCAGCACTCTCATAACACGACATATATCAACGAATTGTGAAGAATCCTGCCGTCGCAATAATGATTTCCCAAGTGATGCCGCCTTAATACATGTCTTATAACAATATAAAGCTTGAGGAAATTATCTACTGAAATATCATATGTTTTAACGTTCAACTTCATTAATACAGTTTTTAATTGTGTATGACACGAACTTTAAGCATTTTCTTTTGCAAGACAGTATCGAACTGATGCGCTGCGGACACGAGACATTGTTGCACAGCTTTGTCCATTTGATCTTCTGTAAAAATATGAGTGAACAGAAATAAAGTCATGACAACAAACATTCGATGTGAATGTTTTCACCAAAAAAAGACAAAGCTCACCAATCATATGTATATACTCGTAAACACCGTAAGTTCCTTCGATGAGTTTCTCTGAAGCTTCATATAAAATGGCGCCAGGTTCCGGTGATGCAACACCCAGCACATCAACAACTGCGTCTGTAACAACAATACAGAGTAAGAGTTTGCAATGAACAAAAAAGTGTACTTGATACCAAGACTTTACACAGATGCATAATTTTGATTACGGCGTATTATATAGACAACAAACATTGTGCGTGTCGGAATTTAATGTCAGAGTTCCAATGAACCAGTAAAACAGTAACAATGTTATTCTACTAGAACGAACGGTAGAACAAGCACACAGTGCAATAAGAAATACGCAGAAAAAAAAAGCAAAGAATAAATTCATGATCTGTGTTCAATCATACTCTGTGTAACTAAATCAAAGAGCAATGCAATAAATAAAAACAATGAATATAGATAATCAAAATCCAAGAATCCCCAAATTAAAAGTACAGACACTCTGCTGCAAATTGTGTGCATTGGCTTTGCCACTCACACTGCGACATGAAGGCAAAGATCAGATTTCATGATTTGCAACAATGCAGAAAATACAAAAATTACACTCTTGGACAACATATTTCAAACACATGTAAACAAAAAGATAAACCTGGTACTTGCGATAAAAGAACAACTTCATTTGTAGTGAAAATTTTGATGCCATCAAGCTCCGTATCGATTTTCACAGGACTTTCGAAATCATATCTTCATTTTAAATAAGAACAGTTAATACATAAAGAAATCAAGCATTTCCGAGGGCATGAATTACAATGCTTTTTAATTTGGTTTACAAAAAGAAAAGCAAATACACATATGAATAATTTGATCTCAACTTTCCTTCCTTTTTTTATCTCATATTTGCAACATCAAGTGAGGGCGTTACTGTAAAAGAGAAAAGAATAATATCCCAAGAATATACAAAATAATACAGAAGCTAAATTAAGTGTCTCACTGCATCAAATGACTTACATATGAGTTTCCGAGCATAAAGATATCAGATATAAGGATTGATGGGTACGCTTGAGAGCCAATACTTCACTACCACACCTAAAACGACGGTTAATTTTGACTAAGAATTTCAATTATCAATGAATCGAGATATATGACTTTATCTAATGCGACAGTTTTAAAACTAACCATGTAAGGCTAGATGTTATAATTGCATCACCAGCGGTACAAAGAGATAAAGTAGAAAGAAGTGAAAAATCTGAATCAATAATCTGAACAACAAAGCTCGAATGGAGTAGAGCAATTCGAGAACTATCCCAGTTTGGAACAATATTTATGTATTCTCCATTACTGATCTTCCATGAAAGATCCTAAAAAGCATAAAACATAGTTTGAGAAATGAAGCAAATGAAATAAATCATTCAAATAGTGCAAGAAAAAGCCAAACCAGAAGGTGCGGTGCAATCCCTTGCATGCCTGCATAGAATGCATTACCAATAACAAATAAAACAGTCACTTGTAGAGATGTAAGCACATTCCAGGCAGATGGATGACTCGCTTCTACAATAATTTATGAATCTGTTCCTCATTTATACTGGATAGATACACGAAACTTTCCTTTTTTAGAACTTAGTATTATCCAATGATACTTCTTATGACTAATGTTTGAATTAGTTAACAGCCTTTCATCTGGTTAAACAGAAATGTTATGCAATATAGTGTAAGATATAAAATAAATTTGTATTTTGCTAGTAAATAAAATGTCTAATTTATTTAAAAAATACTTGCAATATCGTGAATGCGCCATGGGACGGCTTCCATAACTGAGTTAACAGCATAGATCCTATTATTTTCGGAAAGAACTGCTAAACCTGTATTACCCGCTCCTCCGTGATATATACGTGTCTCAGTAATAGTAATTTCCTAAATATACCTGAATTCAAAAAATAATTCGGCTCTACATTCTCTGTGCATGAAAAGTGTTGAATCAAAAAAGTAAAAAACGCAACCTCATCGATTATGAATTGATATTTAAGCTTCCCAAGGGGAGTGTAAACAAGAACACGGCCACGAATATTGACGATTACCAGCTAAATTTAAAATACAGTAAGCAGAATTTTAAACAAGAGCTGAAAATAATTAACAGTATGACTTTAAAAAAAGGCAAGAACAGTGAATCTTACTCTGTGACAACGAGTCCAATACATGGAATGTACATTGTGAGCTTTGAAAGTTGAAAGTGTTTTTCCTGAGTTTGTTTTTATCATAACATTCCAGAAAGAAATATCTGGTGTAGCAATCGCTGAAAAAGATTATCGCAAGCTGATTATGTCGTGAGGTTCACATAATCAGCTTGCTTTAAAATCCTGCAAACCAACCTCATAAAATACACTGCGGAAGTATCTTACTTAGGAAGAAAGGTACTTATCTACAAAGTGTTTCTCCCAAGTCGTTACTCTGATACTTACAATATGCCTCAAGGAAAGATATTACAGTCGAAGTCGCTGGATCAACTAAATAAGTCAGCTCCGATCACAAGGCTGAGATCAAGAAGTTGAATAAGAGTAAGATGAAAGACGAAGTTCATACATTATCAATCGCATGAAACGTTGTTAGAAGGGAATGATTGCTCTAATTTTATTTAACTCGAATCCAACATGGAAGATAGAATTGTCGATAACGAGCCTATTAAATCATTCAACAGGTCCTGTTTGAAGATGCTAAAGGTATTTAACGGATATCGAAACGATACCTATAGAACCTCCATATGGGGACGAAACGAAGAGACATTTGTCACCGATATCATAATGAGTGTTCTGGAATAATATGTTGCTCCTGAAATATTCTCTGACCAATACAAAGATGGGTACATCTTCTGAAGCTATGTAGTAAAATTCATTCGGAATTTGAAACTGCAAAGAAAGCCTTATCTTATTTTAACCATTTTTCACTTGCAAGTTTTAAAACTGGGATAAATAAAGCAGGAACCTTATTTTGACAGGATTGAGATATTTCCAATCGCTTATTTCGGACTTCATTTAGGTTGTTTAGCAAGGAGCATTAACAGAGAATGCATGAAACCAATGACCTAAACTTGGTGTTCATAAAAAAATCACTAAAGGCATCGAATGAATTTTCTATATATGTATAAGCTGAACGCAGTTCAACTAGCATGAAGTATTTTCTTGATTTATAAAAATAATTCTTCACTCAGGACGAAGCCAACGGTTAGTACTATGGCTGTCAAAGCTGTAGTTGTGTACTAAGGCCGCACTTCCAAATCTTCAAGAAAATCTATTATTCGCAAGCACTTCGAAGTACACAACTCCCTCCTTCGCCACACTTAATTCTAGAAAGATGAGGGGGAGAGGCGGAATACGTCCTTCTACACCCTCACTCCTCACCACACTATTTCATCTATTTCTCATTCTCTCTCACGTCTCTTCTTACTCCATGCTTTGTTGTCATGTTTACAGAATTGTTATCTGTGAATATGAGTGGCTGCCAATTAGCATGTTTGTCAGGAGCTGTGATTCAAAGCTTTATAAGTCGGAGACGGAAGGTTCATGCCCATTCTTCGGTCACTCTTTTTCATGTGGGCTTCATTTATTCTCTTTAGGATGGAGAAAGACATTAACCCTTATCAGATGTCAATCGCATTCGGATATAAAAAGTCATTAGTTATCAGAAGAGCATATATTACATACTGCTAAAATAATTAGCTTATTTGGCATGTCAAGTTTTCATCGTCTCGTCTCACATATTCCCATGTATTCTATGAAATTAAACAAGTAATTTTCTTTAATAAATAAGCATTTCATTCAGCTCATCTCTGCGATCAGAATATATGTTATCGTCCGGGCTGTATAGTAGCAACTACTGCGAGAAGTGCAGAAGTAAGGAGATCAGCTGAAAAAAGCTGGTTATCTGTCAAGAAAGCGGATCACTTGAGCGAAAAGAAATGATTGCTGATATATCATCACAATCTCTTACAAGTAGCGGTATGTCCTCGTGAAAATTATCTGCTTAAAATGAATATGTTATGCTAATAAATGAGAGATATTTTCAAATTGACAGAGCTTGTCTGTTGTCCTTCACTTTCATAAATATATATAGTAGTCTAAGCATAATTCTTTGTATTTTTAAGTTAACACACCCCTGACCAACAACGCCTGTTTAATTTGTATTTATGTCTATTGTGTATTCAATGTAAAACTCATGACTGCTACATTTGCAGTAGATGGACGCCCATTTCAGTGTGCAGATTGTTCTGCTGAAGATCCTCAATGGGCTTCCTTGAATAGAGGCGTTCTAATTTGTTCGGAATGTTGCTACGTTCACAGAAATCTTGGTTATTTTTTGTAATTTTTCCTAATAGTATGTTATTTTTTGGGGGTTATTCTTCAGATCGGTCTGTAGTTATAGCCACTGCAAAAATCTCTGATTGATGAAGATATCATTGAAGCATCCATAGTAAGCTGACATGCATCTTTCACTGCTTTCATTTATCGGTAGTTGATTATTGAGAGCCTGAGTCACTGTGTGCTTGATTGACTCGATTGACTTTGAATAGTTCGAAGTCTATATCTATGTAATTGAATTGCATACTAAAGGAATTGTTTAGTGATTGTTAGATGAACACCATATTGCTTAAATATTTGGAGTAACTTAGGCATTTTGTATTAACTGAGTACAAAGGTATTTGCCAGAGGTGAATGCATGCAGTTATATTTCCATGTTTTCAATGTGAATATACAGGTCGTCATATCAGCCATGTTCGTTCAATCAAAAAAGGAGCTTGGAATAGTAGTCAGCTAGAGTTGATGTATGTTTTATATTCTAATGGTTCAAATAATATCTGGGAACATTCGCTTCTCGATCCTCAATCTACCAATAAAATTCGAAGAAAACCGACACCTCAGTGAGTCATGGCCCTGAAATTGGCCGCCGTAAATGATGGGGCGACAGCTATAAATGTAGCTGTCGCCTAGTCATTCACGTGTTTTTAGCAAATTTCTTGGGAGTGATTCATTTCGCTATCTTTTGAGTCACTTCATGTTATGAAACTATAAGTTTTAATGAATTAGAACTTGGAAAACTTAAGGACGGTTTTTATTACATTTAACAAGGGCCATTAACTAGTATTGAAATTGAAAATAATTAACTCTTAAGGATGAAATTTGCTTGAATGTAGAGGAAATGAGAACGGTATTACTATTTTTCTGCTTTTTAAGAAAATTTTTTGAGAAGTAGTTGAAATCAACCTCAATATAATTTGTACTTTTTCACACTTTTTACTGATGAAGCAATTTTTCTAGTGACCCCGTTTTACCGATCAAAGAAAACTTTATCAAAGCAAAATATGCGCAAATGGCTTTCGCTCTACGTCCAGCAAAAGATGATAATTGCATTAGTCAAGATGATTTAAATCGCCAGCTTTGGTCTTGTGTAAGAACTTCTCATGTGGAAACAACTATGAGGTATTTGTAGAAAAATATTTTTGAGTGGAACGACATAATATATCCCATCCATATTTTCTGAAACTTTGTAGTGTTGGAATTTTCATATTATTTACATTATTGTATGCAAAGGAGGTGCTTCTTGTGCAATTCGTGTATTCAAACGGACTCATTATATGTTTTAGATTATTGGCATTGGGTGCTGATCCGAATTACATAGATCCGGAAAAGCATAATGCACCGCTTCATATCTCGGCAAAAGAAAATCAAGCTTTGCAAGTTTGTTATTCGCACTAAATTAAGTAGAATTTAATACATGAATCTTTTTTATCAATACAATTATTTTTTCACTTACAATGAATATGTTCTAGTTAATTTCATTGTAACATTTAGGTTGAATTACTTTGGATCTATGGGGCTGATCCTGCTCAGCTGAATGCAATAGATTTGACTCCTTCTCAAGTAGCAAAGCTTGAAAATCATGTAAGTTTTATTTAACAAAATTCTGCAAATTAACTATAGTACCCGACCGCTTTGTGTAGTTTTTTTTTGTGGGTTATTCTTTCCTAATCTTGTCGCTAATAACTCAGACGCTATTAACTCAGTGTTTGAAGTATGAGCCCAGTTAATTTATCGATGCTTTAATTAGCCTATCACATTTCTTTGCGATGAAAATAGAAGAACTATATGTTGATTTTTTTGCATCTCTTATTTGGTAAAACTTTCCTTTTAGACCGAACTTGCTGCAAGATTGGAAGAACTACAGTTTGAAGTTACTAACCGCTTGACAATGTTTTTATGTGGACGGCGACCAGATCATTCTAGACAACAGTATTTTTTGATTCCCGAACTTACTAGACAGAACACTGGAAATATGCAGATGAAATCAGCTAGGCAACGGCTTCGTTCCCTTCCTTCGTATTACTTTGAACGTATTGTTCAAGATGTTTATGATGAGGTTATATTTTCGCATTTGTGCATTTTTTGTTTTTATTTTTCAAATGAATTTAAAACAAGTCTGAATTAACAGGTAGATCGCCGAGAAACCGTAGCAGCTTGGAATGCTGCTACTCAGGGAATACAGCCTTTCTCTTTAGGAAACGACCATTGTGTGGCTGTTTTTTTGCCGGTATTCTTTTCATCAATTTTCTGAAGATTTTCCTAGTAATTTGGTATTATAATCATAGACGCATATATGTCTTTCTCATTCTGCAGAATTAGGTTCATTATTTTCTTTCGATCAATTAACTTCTGAGCAGTGAATCTTATCTCCGTATATTGTGCAGCCCAATCCTGAATTATCAGCTACACGTAACCAGCTCCGCCAAAAACTTGCAAAATGTGATATGCGAGGATTTGCAACTTTAATCATAGATGTTCTTAGTGAAGCCAAACGAAGGTAAGGAAAAAGAACAGGTTTTTTTTCTCCGTTCTTATATGCACTTTGTAATATCTTTTTCCATATATAAAAAATAAGAACACTTTCTTTGCACCGTATTTATCATCTTATATTAAGCAAAGAGGGCAGTAGTTTCCTAAAATACTTGATTCTAGATATTACGGCTTGCCACTGAAAAGTGATACAGATGATTCCACTGAAAACCTACTGAAAAAAACTTCAGATAGTGCAGATCGCTTGAATGTCAGTTCCATGGGCACTTCCGAGTACGTTTTTTATGTGTTTCCATTTGTTTAAGCGTGTTGACATGTTTCTTATGATCAGGATTTATTTTCTCCTTCATTAAACTTATTTTTGGTAAAGAAGTCTTGTTAAGGCATTATTTTCAAATAATCTTTTTTCTTATTCGAAATATTGCATGTTATAGATATATTACGTCATTTAGTGAAGAAGGTTATAGAGATTACGACGAGGTTGCTGATAGCTTACGAAATGGGAAATGGCGTATATCAGGAAGTACTAGGTTCTTTATGTTTTGTTATGTTAAGAAATTCGTTATTTTCCGCGTTGACTGTTACTCTCTTCTAAAAGAGACTTATTATTTGTTTCGAACTTGGATTTTCCTTAATAAAGACGACAAACTTAAGAAAATCGTCGGAAAGAAAAAGTGATGACAGTGGTGACTTACTGCAAGAAACAGGTCCTGTCATGATTGACGATTTTTTGGAGCTCAAAGAAAAGGTAGCTAATGTCGAAGGTACGCTTACTGCTGTTCAGCAGGCGAACACGCAGATTTTAAGGTTAATATAATTATGTTTTATGGAGAAATTGAGAGTGGACGGAATTTTAAATGACAAACAGCACAATTTCGTGGTGATATTGATCTATGGTTATGTTATCAGCTACTTAGATGACATTCTTTAATGTATAGAGTATCTAATTAACTATGTTTCAAGCTCAAGCATTAGATTATTGGAAAAAAACTTTAAATGACAACATATTTGATTTAATACTTGCGTATCAGCCGCTTCGAACAGATATCTACAATCTTTACTAAGTGATTATTCAACAAAACATGATTTAAAACTTTGTGCGATGCTATTGATTATAGCTAAATATGCATTATTTCCAAGTTCTATGTTTGATTCAGTAGGATCAAGAATTATCGTTCTTGCATCATTAGAAAGAGGCTTTATATCATCTTCTCGTGAAGGAGAAAGATTTTTTAAAAAACTTGTTTTTATTATGCGTTACAATTTTAATTTCAGGATGTTGACACATTTGCAATCTAGTGTTGATCGTTTAAATGCAGATAATGCAGATGTACATGATGAGCTTAAAAAAGTGCAAGCCACTTGCTCACAGGTGGGCTGCTGAGAAATTAAGTTGTAGCAAAATGTTATTGAATCAAATTCGAGAGTTTTAAATGTGATTTTTTTGCATAAATTTATCTTATTCCTAGTTTCTCTGCTAGGTACGAATCATATTATTTCATCATGATTTTGGAAATTTCATAAACTGAGTTTATTTTAGGCTTTGACTAGACGGCGTTCATCTCCAGCTCCAGCTCTCTCTCCCGTAACCTCAGTTTCAACTTCTGTTTTAGGCAACAAGAGTATCCCTTCAAGCTATCATGCATCTCCTGGAAAATCAACTACTGGTAAATGTATCTTACAAACTATTCTCTCTATATGTAATATTTAGTAAATAGCTATCTTCTTATAATTTCAATTTGTTGTGCATATTAAATTTTACTTATTTGTCTTTGTTTAAACTTAGCATTACAAAATTCTGATATTCATGGTGTTTTCGGTCATACCAGTCGTCGGCATGGCTCTAGTTTAACGCCTTCATTGAACGTTACTGGTAGAATAGTAGCGCAGCAGCGTTCATTTTCGCTAAGGCAAGGTACGACGCATCAGGCAGATTGCAGTAGTGGAGTTGAAAGCCTGGATCCATGTGTTGAAATTTCACGTCGTGAGAGAACTGAATTGTTAAATGCTGTTGATGAAAGAAATGATGATGAGAGAATACGTGGTTCGTATCGTAGTGCTGGTGGTAAATTATTTCTTTATTGCTCATTTTTGAATATTAAATCTTAGGTCCTTATTTACTTCATTCTTTCGGGTTTGAGGAAGCTTGACTTGTATGCTATGGAGAAATATCCACTTATTTCTATATTTTGGTCTTGGAAATGTGAGACATTCAGAAATGTATTACAATAGCTGATGTTTTTCTCTGATACTACAGTGTAGTGGATATGTTGGACCTAAAAGCAGTAACTCATGATTCTACATGATTTTGAGAAATACGCTATTGACTTACCCGAATATGAATTGAAAAATATGGCGTTTCATCGTTATGTAGAACTTTCCTTCTCTGGCTACTACTTTGCATTAATTAAGTGATGCATCGTGCAATGGTGAGTTTCAAGCATTTAATAATATTTAGTTCTAAACTTCAGAGTTACTCTATAAGCATTAAATGGTGTTCAACTTTCGGCATTTTTAGCTTTTACGGACAATTTAATAGCAGAGACGGAGCAGTTAACACATGCGATTAAGCTTCTATTAACAGATGCACAATATGGACAGTTGCAAGCTCGTGCACCAGATCACGCTTACTCAGTTTGTTTTTTTTATTTCCATAATTTCAATGAATTACGTTGATTTATAGACTATTTCACTGTTTTAGCTTTTGCCCGTGGTTTATAGACTATTTCAGGTTGGTATATTGATAAATCGTATTTTAACAGTCGTTCCGGAAGAACGACGTACTCCTGCAGTTGAAGCATGCTTGCAAAGAATGTCTGATTCAACAGTTATTTTATCTGCCAAATGTAATGCACCAATGTTCAGCGTAAATGATACATGTGCCGCTGCATTCGCTGTTGCTAACTCCGCAAAGCAGTTGTTAGTGAACGTTCATCAATTATAATTTTGATATTATGCAGTCTTGTATCATTGTTTCATTATATAATAATATGAATTTTGTTTTATGTAATTTTATATATAGTACTNAAAAAAAAAAAAAATGGAGCGGTTGCAATCTGGTTTCGTCTAAAGCATTATCGTAGATATTGTACGTGATGCGATAAAATGCGATCTTCAACTTTATGATATTTTTGGTGTAAGGATAACCGTACAGGATTTGGAATGTGTATCATTCCTTTGTTAGATTTGCTTTAGCCATTTTGCATCGATTCTGATTTTCCTTGTGATATTCAAAAGATTTTATTTTTGTGAAGGATCCTGCTATAGTTATATTATAAGGGATAAATAAAATTGAAGTAACCAGATTCAATTAAGTGAGGCTAACTTCAAATAATGTGGGAACTAAAACTGAGAAAGGGAAAAAACAAGGTGGAGAATGGATTAAGTATATCAGAGAATACCAGCTATGAATTGCCATACAGATACAGGAAATGTTCCATATGTTAATGATTGTTTCGCTAGTTACTGGAATATATATGACATCTTAACAGATTTGGCAAGAATAGCAACAAGATAACAGCTGCAACTATAAAGTGATAATCTGTATAACTTGCACTAAATTCGTTAGTCATCAACTTCCTTTCATGTCTTGGCTGATTTTGTAAAATTGGAATTAAAGTTTATTAAAAAGGTGTTAGTAATATTAAACGATACGAATGGCAGGAATTTGGGAGGTTATATAAAGACAAGAGGAATTAAAGTTTGTGAATTTTAAAGTATCCCGGCTTATTAGACAAGTTAAAACGATGAAAGCATGATTTGCTACGTTTTATTCAAATATTGCATCGTATGTTCCTGTACTTAAGTTGAATACTTCCTTTGCAACGGAGGGAATTTTTAATGCTGCATTTTCTGTTGAGTGGTCATATTTGTTCGTTTTAAGTCATACATTTTAAACATATATATTTGGGTATGGTAGGACAACCCGGAAATTCATCAAGAGACATGATATAAGATTCAAACTGGATTGAATACTAAAACCGGATATTGCTGCTTTTCTCCATGCTTCTCCTTCTAGATTACAATTGAGAAAATTAAAGAATTCGGTTGATGTAGGATTCAATACATTGCTTTTATATGTATTCTATAAATGCAAACGAAAGTGCATATTGTTCCCTTAAGGAACTCTGGTAAAATTATTGTCTACACCTGGTGTCACACATCGTCACTTTTCAATATCACCATAATGCTATATCAGCAACAGATCTTAAATGTCATTTTTGAATATTCAGTAGGGAAACAAAGTGAAGGTTTTCGAAGTGCGGGTTGTCAACAAAATTTCAAATATCTCGTAAAGTATAAATCATCAATTTTCAATTCTTTGCTAACAGAATTCGAATTCAATTCTATATTTATATGGAATGTCAAGTGGAGACGGAGCAATACCGACTTGTCGAAGAACCACTCTGTCGTTTAATACTGACTGGAAAATGACTCTCGGTTTACTTTCTACAATTAAATCACACTTTTCCCACTCGAACGATATTTAAGGACGTCATACTTGAAAAAATAGCCCATGAAAATATATTTGTTTCTTAATTTAGAGTTGTAATTTGCGATACTATTACCTTAAATGATGAAAAACGAACATCCCAGCAAACATAATTTCTTTATTAGTATGTTTTCCCCTATGATTGCTGAAATAATCGATATTTATGAAAGTGCTTACTGAAATCAATGTTTTTATGCATCTTTTATGAATCAACTTTAACCTTTCAAATCAGTAATTTTGTGATGGAAGAATAAAAATGACAAATGGAATATTTTTTAAAGTATTTCCTAGTGAAATAAAAAAGAAAGGATTACAAATAAAATGGATGAGAACGGGACATTATTTACATCAATGTTCTGGTTTCAAAGAGAGGCTTATCATTTCCATTTTCCAATTCAGAGTCTGAGAAGTTAATTAGATCACTTTCCTTATCACAACTAGTCATTGCAACAGCAACGGAGTCAGCATCATCAAAAGTGGAGCAAATGACAGTTTCATTATTAATGAGGGAGATTCCACGCAATATAAATTGATCTTTCTCGGCGTCATTAAGAACACCAGCGTTTTTCTTACCGTTCGTTGAGTGGATTTTGGTAGCTTTTGGAAAAGCATCATTGCCTTCTAGCAGCTGTTTGTCCTCCTTTTCCTCCTCCTCATCTTCCTCATCTTGTTCCTGATCTTGTTTCTCATCCTTATCTTTTGTATTATTGCCCTTATCTCTCATTTCTTTTTTCTCTTCCTGATCATTTTCCTCCAGGATATCAGGAAGTTTTTTCAGGCCATGTTTTCCCGCGATTGAATTCGGTTTTCGGTGGTGAATTGGCCTAGTCTGCAAAATTCTCGGAAATGATATTTTACTGCACAGTGCAGCAGGATCTTAATTAAGAATTAATGTATATTAACTCAACAAAGAAAATGTAGGAAATAAGAAAGTTAGGTCATTAAGTTTATATTTTAAAATTAAAAACTTGCTTTGCTATATGCCAAAACATTGGCACGAGTACGCTTATCGACTGCTTCCGATTTCGGTCTATTGTTAGATCCAGCACTTCGAGAATCATTGTTAAGCGAGTTGCGCGATGGATCATCTAAACGATAAATCGAATTCGGATGACCAATGTAAGTCACTTTTTTCTGAAAACACTATGTGTATTCCGAATTTCATCTCTTTGTTTAGAAGAATTCTTCAGAAAGAGAGTGGTTCGAAGTTTCAGCAACGGAAGCCTGAAAGGTTGATAGCAAATTCTAATTAAAATGTCTGCAATTTGAAACAGTTTTTGATATCACTTCAGATATTCAAACTCATACGCAATTCAGAAAACTACTGAGAAATATACTTTTAACAATTTCGCCTTAGCAGAATTATCTGAATTATCGAAGATCATCATGAAAATGGTTTAAGAATGAAGAAAGTACTGCGAAATATGGTTTGAACTTTTATTTCATCTATTCATCCTGCAACTCTATTTTTACAAGAGCTGTTTGTATCACTACTTGCTGATTAAATGAATGAACAAAAATTTGAAACTTGAAGCGAGGAAATCCAGAGAAAAAAATTCAATAGTAATAGGTCTGAGTAATGAATGGGTTACGATAACTTTTCTACGCCAAAAAAGGTATGACTTAGTTTTTGAACCACGAATGTCATTGCTATAGCATAAGCCATCTATATGAATGCTGGAGCCATATTTAAATCTATTCCACGATGATGAGGTTGAAGCTACGAGAGTTCTGTTCAGAAAATTCTGTGATCTACTGATTGCTTACTGTAGAATTAAAGAATCATTTCTCAACCACCATTATAAGGAATATGCCGCGAATAATAATGTGAATTAATTATACTCTAAAATTTGCTCGCCTTTTATCAATAGACCACTAAATTATTAAAAATGCTTTCTAACAATAGAAAGTACTTCGCCATATTTGCGTGGATTTCGTCGATATGAAGGTGCAAAATAATGGTTTGCATTGAAAGCGCTTTTGCTCTGCGTCCAGCTTCTGCGACGGCTCGAAAAATGATCCATATAATTGTTATTATTGTAGCTGGATCGTGGACTATATCCACTGCTAAAAATATCTAATATTAATTTGTTAAACATATTCAAGCCACTTACTCAATCTTCATATCTTCCTGCAGATTTCAAACCATTATTTGTCATGTGATAAGTAATCGATTCACTTCATATTTCATAGATTTCATAGAGAAGCAGGTGATAACATTCTTATGCTCAAATGTAACATACCTATCAGGAAAGCGACTTTGTCGTGTCCAGCGTCGAAGTTTAGAAAATCCACGATTTTCAGGTGGATTCGTCTCAGGAGGATGAAGCTGGAGTAGCGGTTTCTCGAGCGGAGGATATCCTGGTGGAATGATAACAAAATTCAATGACTGCTGACGACACACTTTCCCAGCAGCTGTTATCCACTGAGCTGAAAGGAACCGACACTATTCACAGGATTCAAAAAAACCGAAATCAACAAAAGTACTTACGGTTTTGCATGATATTAGCCAGATTAGTCATCCAGATTCGTTGATCACGGAGACTCATCTGTTGCGAAACACAGCGTGACCATTCCAAGTTATCGAGTGGACATACGAGCGTTTCCTGAATTTGTTATAACAAAATGTCCTTCTTAAAATCCGAAAAAACGGGGTTCGTTTTATCAAAATAGTTACATTAAATACTTCACTAAGCGTAAATAATTATCCAAAAAAAAGCCACACTACCGCCAGAGTACACCCGTGTCTTCCAAGAGGCCCATCAACAGGAAAGATAATATCGTTTCCATTGAATGACGGCATCAGTAATCTGTTATTAATTATTCAATTAGTATGCCCTAGAAATTAGTTATTTTCATGTGAAAACAATTTAAATTTTTATGGGTGAAGACTGAATGAAATAAAAAAATATTTCATGGGTATAGTTCCTACCCACTGACAAGTAGTTTGTCATGTATTTCAAGAATTCTTAAAATTTTATCCATTTATGAAATTTGAAACATAATAGGTTGATGAAATCAATAGTGACTGTATACATTGATTGTATATTGTATACACTGTATATACTTATATGTGAAATTTAATTTATTATTTAAACCCTAGTCTTAATGAGAGAGATTTTCTTTTGCTTTCATATTTGATTCACATGACTAATATAATCCCAAGTGAAAAAGAAATTACCTTCATGTTTCTTTAATATTTTCTATGTTCGAAAATTTTTGTCCAGAAAGAGAAGTAAAGGGTGGTGTGACAGTAGAGAATCACCATAGATGATTTGAAAACAGTAAATGTAATACTTTTCTTCGACGGTCCGATCAAGCATCGGATCTTGTTCAACAATATTGTGCATTTGCGAACGTGCAACCATGCAACCACCGTATTGACGTGTACGCGTTGCCATGATACGATTCACTTCTACGTATTTGTCACTACCAAATCCTGAAGTTAGTTATCTTCACTTGTAATACAATACACAATACTTCCCTTCACTTTGCATATTAGAGAAGTTTATCAGTTCGGTCTTTCTTCTTTTTAATTACTTTTAATTTGATTCAAAAATCCGGACTTTTGTAGTAAGTTTGAAACCACGAGAACATGCATTCTTACTCGGATACGTTAAGATTAATTTCACAAAGGTTTTTCAAGTGTTATTTTCCATAATCTCCTCCATGTAAATAAAAAAGATTTTAATCAATCTAACAAACTAACGTACAAACTAACATATAGCTTAATATGAATGAATTAAAGATAACCTGGAGTAAATTCAATCAAATTAATGCGATAAAGAGCCATAATTTCATCCCAGCCGTTCGATTTATCCGGATAGCTTTTAAAACAAAGAGGTAAAAGCGCTTGTGCTTGATGACCACGTGATATAAAATACCACAAGCAAATTGTTATTCCACGTGCGCTTAATTTTTTTACCGCATTTGCGCCTTTAGCATAGCTAAATAAGTCATTAAATCGTCAAAGCCAACTTGTTTAAAGTGAAGTTATGAAAATAATGTCAACAAACCAATGAATTTCAATAGTACTTCATGTTGTCATTTTCTATGATTTCCACAACTCATTATTCTAAGGAATTTTTCAAACTTCATCGCAAAAAAAAAAATGCTAATTTTGAACAAAAGGAAAAAGTGTCGAATTCAGATTGGCTGTTATGCAAACTTAAGTTTGAATACGGAATCGCATACGCGAAGCCAACTTCAACACCATTGATAAAAATGGGACGAAGGAGACGATTTTGACTGCGTTCTTTTATATTGTCTGTTGCATTGTTACAAATTACCGATAATGGCACTCGATCAATCTAAAGATTCACAACCACAAAATTAAGGCGTTCGCAAAAAGTTTTCCATATCAAAATTTCATACAAAAATCCAGACCACAGTAGAAAAGGAAAACAACCACAGAAATGTATATTTTATGTTTTAAGACGTGAAGAACGCTTAGATAAGCATCAACAATTCCATTTTAGAGCAGAAATTACGAGAATTTTTGCATATAATTAATCAATATAGAACTGCTTTTTATTTCATCGTAATTGTGGAGGAATTGGAAATTTCGTGTCTCTTAAAGCGTATCATGTTCAGAAATGCTTCTAATTTAATTTACATTACTGAGTTTTTCAGAAATTGCAAAAACTTCAGATTTTTCAAATTGTAGTTTTTTTAAAGATATAAGCTTTAGAAAAGCAATATGTAACTTCGTATATATAGCATCGAAATAAATGTAGCTTATTGAACCAAAATATGTAAAAGCGAAGACTTTGACATATTTTATTTTTTTAATTATTAGAATTGTCCAATAATTTAGTGAAATAAATATGTCTTGATTGAATTAGGGCAAGCGGAACACAATTGAGGATTAGTGTCTCAAAAGAGATTCATAATTATACTACTCTTTCTACTTTCTGAAATTTCTAAAAAAATATAATATCTATCCGTCATTGTCAGCAAAAACAAGAAAAAGTATAAAATAAATCTCATTTATTAAATTTTTTTTTCAAAATTAATATAAAATTAAATGTAGATGAACGATAAAGAGAAGAAATATGGTAACCTTCAGAAGTCGATCGTGTCCTGAAGGACATCCTGCGGGGCGCATATCAAAAATAATCTAAACTGATAATAAAAAAAACTTCTGAATGATCTGGTGAAACCGCCACACACAACTGATCTGGTGAAATATATGAATCATTTTAGAAATTACTCATATTTAAAGTTGATTACACATTTTGCATAAATTATACTTAGAAGATACGCTTTTTTTAATTTTCATATCGATTGTTAAGTGTTGCACATCGTAAAAAAATGAACATAAAGAATTCATACATGCAAATTAAACCGATGCATACATATTGAGTAAATCATAACTTTTGCATTTAAATGATGGACTGAAAATTTGAAACAAATATGGGCGAAAACAGATTATTATTTTAAAATGAATGAGTGCTTCCAGCCTATCCATTTAATGTATTTGGTTTTTAAGGTAAAATGTCGAGTATAGAAAATATTTCTAAAAATAAACTAATGGATTAGCATAAAATTTTTTGTTAGTGTCCACTATAATTTATCAAACATCACTATAACTGTGCTTTTTATGAATGTTCAATTAACTATATCAATTCAATATGAATCTGCAATTAATCAACAAATGCAAATCATCGGCTCAAGAATAAGAGTTGATAGGTGATATTCAAATCATTTCTTCAATAAAGAAATTTATCCATGTTTTCATAACATCGATGAAACTCAAAACTCCAATCAATAAACAAATTACTATGTAAATTTGTCAAATATTTCATTATTTCTATTAGATCACTGCAAATTTATCGTTCTAATGTTATTTTGACATTAAACAAAATGATGAAATTATTCCGATGTTATTCCCATAATTATTTCTCTGCACTTTTTCTCATTCCTACCCTTCTTAGGACAGTTTTTATTACTTACATGATGCTTAGCGCAGATTCTTTTATTCATCATTTACAAATCTTTTTATAATACAGTACGGAACATCACCATAGAATATCATTTTATCGGTCCAATATTTGTTTCAATTTTATTTGTAACACTCATTTAATGTTTCATCCTTTTACTTTGACCATACTGGGAAAAGGTAAACAAATATTTGATCATCGGCTAGCTTCTTCACATCATTGCCTTGCAGAGTTTTCTCATAATGTTATTCAACTATATCACCTGCACGCGCAAATGGTACTGTTCCATACTCCTTTTGTTTTTATTTTTGTCTTCTATGTGCTAATTTACATGCTAGCGCAGTGCTGTTGCATGCATCACTTGCACATTTGAAAATTGAGTTGCCTGCTGCACATCAAAAAGCAAGCATTTGGACTTCCAATTTTTACTTCCAAATTATTGAAGATAAAAATTAATTATCATTTAGCATTTATCCTTCTTCTTTAAAAGTAGATAATTGATTGTCACTGGAATTTAATTTTTCAGTGCTTTTACAACCAATTAAATGTCGTCAATTGACTGATAAAATTCGATATGATATTACAATATTTGATGATCTGATCAAATTAATAGAATTGATGAAAAGCACACTTTTTATACATTCATTTGTTAAATTCATTAAACTTGCAGTTCACACTGTAGCATACATTCAACAGCTACTAAAACTAATGTGGACATAGGATATTAAACATCATACCAAATGTATATTATGAAGTTTTTTAGCTAAATTATGTTTTTTTAATAGCTTAATTTCTGATCCGATCATTTGTTTGTGGGATAGTGACATTTTCGTGTGATGTGAAGATCTGAATTATAAGCCTACTAATATGTTAAAGCATTTGATTGCGTGCGGAACCAAATGAAGATATGGGAGGTACAGGTTGCATTAAATATATTGTTGGATGTTTGATTCGATTGGAGAAAACCACTTGCCAGTTCTACCAGGGACAAATAAAGTACCAGGACAAGTACAGAAATGATATATTGAAATGAGATAAATCAAGCCTACCTGATCCAGTTTGAGAAAATATGGATCGTTACATCATTTCTTCCTTCATTATGATTAAATAAAAAATGCTTTAAATGCTTTAAACTGACGATATATTCCAACTACTGTCCTTTGTCGGTGCACAAACCTTCCTCATCCATAAAAAATATTCTCGACACAATTAAAGATCGATTAGGGCTATTAAACAATTAGGTATAATTTGGAAGAGAACTGGGAGAAAGTGCTAGGAATATCAGATTTGTTCGGAATGAGGGATATATGTCGATGGGAAACGAAAAACGAGATAGTCATAATGTTTGGATAATGATACTTTTTTACTGTTCATATCGGCCAATATAATATGTAAACACAAATTTTTCAAGTCGTATTTTATTTAATCTGACAATTTATTGCTTATAGCCATAAATTATTTACATGAATAAACATGATCATAGCGAGCCAGGGATCTATGATCCTAGGCGCAAAAACTAAGAGAAAACGAGGAGAGACGAGAGATGAACGTAAAAATCTTTAAATATCCTGTTCTATGGATATATATGTGTATAGGGTTTAAATGATTCTACAAGAATTTCCATGTATGAGTGGATCTTTCTTTCACATTTACAAAAATTAGGGGGAGAAGGAAAGGTAATTTGTAAATCAGAATATACAGCGATCTAAAGAATTACTTAACGTAAATAGTGACAGAGCTGCTATACAATAGTGAAGAATTCACATTTTAATCAACTGATCGAAAATCTAGATTAGCGAAAAGAGTAAAAATCAGTATTGCACCACTATCAGTGAATAACAGCACTATGAAAAGAATATGAGAGATCAGTTTTTAGTTTTTACTAAACAAGTAACAATTTCAATGTTTTCGGTTTCTTTTTGTGATTTTCCAACTCAGTTTTCATCGTTTCTGCTACAGGATTGCCAAGCAGCATTAGCTGTGTTAAATTAGGCAATGACGTGTATAGGCGGTCAACGTCTATTTCTAAAAAAAAAGTATATTTTTTCCTGGGTAACACGAGGAGATATAACTGAATTGTGCTGTTTTTCCTGATGATATATTTCCGGAAAGACATTCCGGAAACTTGGTTCTTCTCAAAAAGTTTTTGGTACCGGATATGAAATGTGAAGTTAATATTTCAATGTAATGAATAAAAATGCAGAGAAAGTTACCGGTAATGTTATTGCCGCTAAGGTCGAGATATGTAAGTTGTTTCATATTGAAAATACCAACAGGAAATGTTGTTAATTTATTATTTGACAAATTCATTCCCTGCATTTCGGTCCATTCACCAACCTCAACAGGGAACTCCTCGATTGCATTACCCTCCACGTTGAACACTGTAATTTTTAGTCGGCACTATCAGGCCAAATAAATAACTCCTGATGGCACTATCAGGAATTATTCACTTATTTTCTCGAAATGATTTCGAGGCGTTTATTGACCGCTCACTGACAAAACATATGAATAAGCTAATAAATAAGTCCGTTCGACGATAATTTTATAATAGAAATGGAAAAAAGATAAAATGAAAAGCAATATATGATTATTATAACTAAAAAATAACTTTAAAATAACAATGATAAAGAATTAATAAAATTACAGAACTAACTAATCATATTGCTGAATCGTTCAATCATTTTCTTGGGAAATTTGGTGAGAGAGTTGTTCCTCAGATTGCATTTATTGATTTCATACCCTTTCAGTACAAGATATATAGCATCGGCAATATACATAACACCACAATCTGAGAGATCTGAAAATACATCCTTATGCTTTAAAGAAATTATCATTCAAATTAGACAAATTTTGTGCCCTTACCTGATCCTAGAAATTCATATCAGCTCTATTTAAGGAAAAAAGATTGATTTAAGGAGTTTCCCTTATCCCTTGTCCGTTCTGTGCTCACCAAGATAGCCAGACGCTTTGGCTGCCTCACATCTGTGCATTACACGTGTTACAGCTTTCCCAGCAGCAAGAGTCATCCTCCTGAAATTCCGTAAGTATTGCCTGATGCAAAGAGTAGTCAGTTGACTAATACAAATCATCACATTTTTCATAAAATTTGGAAAAAAAGAAAACCGATAAGCAAAGGATTATAAAACTTTTAAAAACTGTATATGAAATAATTTTCTGAACTTCTCTAATGGCAAGTAGCATTTAAATGTGTAGTAAGTTGATTGTCGAAAGGAATTGAATTTCTCTTTCTTAATGTGCAAAATTCTAACACAGTTTGTAAAACTTCTGAATGGTAATAGTGATTGATATTGTTTTTCATTTGAAGCTAAAACCTGTTCAGTTAAAAGTTACGCAAAATATTAAGTCAAACTACAGCACTTTAAAATAAGAAAAGTAAAACTCAAGTTTTTGATTTGAAGAGCTATCTTCGAAAACAGAATTGCGAGCTTATACCGAGAAGAATTTTCAATTGATGATGACTGGTTTATCAATTATACAGTTCCGAAAAGTTAACCATGAATTAGCACAGTTATTTCAAACTAAACAAACGGCAACCAAGAAATAACTTTTACGAACATTATACATGTTTCTATGTATCATCCGAAGACATGACATCTCTATTCGAATTTCCGTATGAACAAATTGGAATTTCTGTGTCTAGCACTTGGAAAATTTGTTCAATCAGTGATTAGAACCAATCGATGAGATAGATAAGTAGATAATGCATAATTATTGAAGCGTAAAATGAGCGAGACAGTTAATGATAGGAGAGTGAAAGTTGAAGTATCAGATGAGGTGAAATCAAGCAGCACAGTAAAAAGGACAAGACAGAAATTAAAATAAGAAGAAATGGATGCAAGGAGAGAGGAGGAGTTGGAAAGATTGGAAATGCACGCTGCAAACAACTGCTCTGCTACAGATTAACTGTGATGTTACTCTTCCACTACTCCCAGCTGATTCACTCAGTCATTTACACCATTCAGTGATTATTACACCGCTCCAAGCCCCGGATTACAGCTTCCTACTTTATCTTTATTAGCGGTCATTCTTTCCCACAAAATCAACTGTTTTTACTACCATCATGGATAATTGAAACGTGTCGAATTTAGAGTAAGAGCTTTTAATATTGAAGAAAGTCAGTACTCCTTCTCATTCCTCTGTCGCTTTTTCGTGGCATTGGCAGTACTCGTACATAACACTTCTTACAGTTTTTGACGTTTTTTTTTTTATTTTTCTAAGAGCATTAGCGTGTCTATGCATTCATGAACTTGCACATCTGCGTATTTATATTTCATTTTATTTTTAACTTTCAATAGCAAAGATTTCAATAGCTAGAAGGAGGAAGTGAGATAGATTTGACATGTTAATTAATTATTTGTAGTTTTTGTAACAAATGCATGTTGCTTCATTCACCCTCTCTTGTCACAAATCTCAGTGAATGAGTGCGGTATAGCATGATGACTAAAGCTAAATTATGAAACAAATAGTTAAACGCGTTGACTAATTGGAACCAGTAAATATCCTTCAAATTTCATATTCGTCATCAGGTGCAAAGTTATTTTTGCTGCTCGATTGTTCGGTTCATTACCAGCCCGAGCTCTTCTTCGCGATCCTTTCATCTTGTCTGTAATAACTTGATTGTAACCCTCTCTCAAAAGCATATCTTTCTTTCTCTTACTGACAAAGCAAATATAATAAAACAAAAGTTATTAATTACCTGGTTTAGTGGACACCCGAATACGCATATATAACCATTTGGTATGGAACATTTCAAAGCAGTAGAGAGCGATATTCGTGATAGAAAATATCTAAATTATGTCAAAATTAGTTAAAGTTTGTTCACCTGTTTATAACTAAGCACCGGAAAACTAAACGGATTTAGTTATCGTTCAAGTCAGTGAAAACCGCGTCTCTTTCATTTTATATAGACTATAGAACCTGGTAAAATCCATTGAGAACCAAAACAGAGTACTGAATAACTACTGGAAGAGCTAGCACTAAGCATGACAAAAGAGCAATGTTACTTTAAAGTTGATCCTTAGAAAATTTTACAAACTAATGTACGGTTGTGGAAATATTTCTAAAAGGACAAATATCATAAGAGAGGTAACTTGATCTAACAAGGAACTGGGAAAACTCAAAAAAGAATGTTGAAGTGAAGGGTAAATAGAATCGAAGATAGGTAAGCACTATGAAAAGTAATATTAGATTATTGTGAAATGAAGGAGAAGAAAATAATCACAAATTAGGAAAATGAAATTCAAATCACATAATTTGAAAAAAATAAAAAAAATGACGTGGGTAAAAAAAAGTAGCCAGAATAACAAAACGAAATTTATACATTAGAGGGTGTCAAGCATTGATCTGAATTAAGATAGACTAGAAACTGAAGTCGTAAAGAATGATTTCCTCACATTTTTGCAAATAGAAATATGAAAAAAGATTATAGAAGAAATTAAATACATATAAAATCGATTGAATGAGATTACGAAATCTAAAATCTGAATTTCAACAGCACTGATGATATAGATCAAATAGAAATATGCAAATATTTGCAAATAGAAATATGAAAAAAGATTATAGAAGAAATTAAATACATAAAATCAATTATATCGCACTAGTGATGCAATAAATCACCTAATATGCTGCACTGTCCTAATCATTACGGAAGAAGATAGGTGCAGATATATACCAATATCTTAATAAATACATTAATAAAATAAACTTGAATTGCTTTCTCCCGTTGCTCAGAATCTTAGAAAGGTTCGAAGGACAGGAAAATATTAAATCGAAAAAAAACAGTTAAAACAGATTTTCAAATTGGGGTGAAAATAAATAGTTAAGGTTATAGATAAAAAATGATTAGAAAATAACTGTGTGCAAAGAAAATCAAGATACAAGTCATCCATGATTTTACAAAACTTTGCGTGGTAACGAAAAGAATCATAAATTCTGACACTATCGTGGTATGAACATGAGAAAGTTAAAATAAGACTGGAGATAAAATCAATCATCTATCCAATGATGTGCAGTAAAATTGATTGAAAACAGAAGTTTACTCATTGATAGACAAGAAAAAACAGAAATTCACTTAGCAGTGATATGTCCATTGAATTTGAAAGAGAAAAATGTGTAACTATTAAAATGAGTATAGTAATTTGGATAGAAGTGTTAAAATATTGCATTAAAAACCATGCAGTAAATATTGCTCGGGTCACTGGAATAGTGACAGAAATGATGCAGTATGATGAAAAACAGTCTCTCTTGAATAATTTGAAAAATAAAAAAATTGAGCCTAAATGAAGATAGTACTTTCATGCAATAAATAATTAGGTAATTTTTTTATTTAAATATTAAGCTGACTGAACTCAAATAGAAATAAACAGACTGGATCCCGAAAAGCGTAATTACATACACTTCCAACAATGATATCGATTAGTATATTCATTGATGAAAGAGATATACTGAAAATGAAGCAGATTGCCAAGGAACAGAAGAGACTATAAAATGATTATATTAACGAGAGGATAGAAAAAATTCAGGTTATCAAGGAAATTAGCAGAAATAAAGGACGGAAAGTGACATGAGATAGAAAATGAAAGGTTAGAAAAAATCGATGCATGAATGGTAGATAGAAATCACAAATAGTTAAATGTGTCATATCAAATTTGATCATTTTATCAATGGCTGTCACTAAATCACTAAAATTATAAGCATCGACAAAACCGGGCTGAGTTGTGAAACAGAAGTATAAATCAGGAAAGTGATGGACAATGTGATTGCTTTGGAGTTTAGTATGCAAACCGATACTGCCATAGTAGGCAATAATAACTAAATTAAAAGGACGGTAATTGTCTAAATGGTGCATGAGGGCTTGAGGCAATATGAGGAAGTTGAAGAAACATCTAATGACGAGATAGGAAAAATAAAAATAAAACAATTGGAGAAGATAAAAAATAAAAATAAAACAATTGGAGAAAGATTCTTATCTGGAAATCGCAAGGACGTTAGAACATTGCCGACTTTTAGATCCTAAACTAGGATTTAAGTAGTGCAAAGCGAAACTTTATCCTGAATATCAATAATACAATAATAGTAATAATTTTACCATAGCCACGAAAGAGCGCTTTGAAATTTTAGCTTTGAAGTCTATATGTTTCCAGGCGTAGTCCCAGGTGTAAAGCAAATACATTATTGAAAAACTTATAATGAACCACAATAGGATATGAACAGCACATCGAATGAGATCTATTTCCTGCTTCAACATAACATTTTAATTTGTTTTTTTTCTCTAATTTAAAAGAGCTTCATTTGATCTTCAAAGGAACTAATTTGATCATAAAATTACAAATAAATTGATTTTGGAATTACGATTTCATAAAGCGGAAGATGAATACTTTAGAAAAGGATGCAACGTGGCGACTGGCTGATATTATTGTATAAACCAGATACATTAAATCGAGTATGACAATAGCTATTGGAAAAGCCATTCCAAATACTGCTTGACATGTTGATTTGTTTTCTGAATTCCTCCATACAAAACAATAGGGATCTCTCAAATCAATCTGAAATGCGTTGCTTTAGATTTCAAAAACACTTTATGTTTCTCATTTAAGGAATCAGTACTTTATCATCATTGCCTGCTTGACAACAATAATCATAAATAAGCAATAAGCTAGTTAGAAGACAAACAAATAAGCAGAAATTGATATTTTAAAACGTATTCTTAATATTTTTTTAAAATTAAAAAAGGAAATAGCAACTTACTGTGATGCAGCTATAGCTTTCAACATATTGGCTAAAGTTAATCATTCCTTCGTAATCAGTATGAGCATCATTATTTTTGCTGTTATTCGATACTTTTGTGGTTTCTAATAAAACAATTCAATTTTTTTTGAAACTATTTGCAGTGATTTTTTTCTACACGTAAATTGAGACAATAAAAATATATCAGAAATATCCTATTTTCATGAATAAACAGAGAACGGTTCAGAAAGATGAAATCGACGGATGTTGTCAGTCACTT